CTGGGGAATTCTGGGAGTTGAAGTCCACACATCTTAAAGGGGCCAAGGTTGAGAAACACTGACCTAGTGTATTTTTCCAAAGGCTGAGCAGTGAGCAAGGAGATGATATAAAATGTGCAGGGCCAGATTGCACATATGGAAAGATTCCTGTTGTTTTCCTGCAAGGATGCTAAGCCTGCTAGAAGATCTCTGGGCCTGGCAACGTTGGGAAGCATTCACCCTCTTGAACTGTACATCGTCTTTTTATACGGCCTTCTTATTAGCTAAGGTTAATATGGATATTTACATTTTTACTGCTCTTACTGTTTGGGATTTTCATCGCGAGCCGCCTGGGGTCCCCCTCGGGGGGAGATGGGCGGCATATCCATTTCATAAAATCAAATATCAAGCAAGATCAATAAGTAATGGGGGGGTAAAGCTTTGCCAAGCGGCCGCACTGGGCTTCGGGGAGTGCAACCCGTGTCCGTTCTGATGCAAAGCCTCTCCCACCGTCGCCCTCCCTTGCAGACCAATTCTGCCCCTTTCAATTCGCCCGGCTCACCTTCGCCGCCTTTTTACAATCCTTCTCCGCTTTCTCTTCCACGCGCACCGGGACCTGGGCACCACAGAGAGATGCAAGATGAGCCCTGCGGGCAGGACGCCCTCCCCATACCGTGAGCGTACGATTTCCCAAACGCCGACGGACAATTCAAAGCGACCCCCTCTTTTCTTCTGACTGTACCCTCTCTCCCCCTGCTTTATTATTGCAACTGGTAAAATATTCCTGTCTGCAAGAGCGGGCTAAAAAAACGGGCACTGAGCCAGCCGATCAGCTCATAAAGCCCCAATGGCCCACGCTGAGATGAAGAACGGGCACGGGCAGATTTAAAATTGGAGTTTGATGGAGAACGCCAAACCGGAGGCTGTAAGCCGAAACGTCTGCCTCCTCTCCCCACTTGGCAATGGGGATGCACTGAGAAAAGAACCCATCCTCGGGGACTTTTTCGCCATAGAGGATTTGGGGGTGGGGGTTACCTGGGTGGGGGTGATTTCTGAGCCCACAAAGGTCAGGATCCAGACTGTCCCTCGGCCCCCCACCACCACCTGAGGGGACCCGGCCTCGTGAAACATGGCCATCAGCCGTTCTTTCTGGTTGAACGTTTGGATCATGGCGTCTGAACGAGAAGAAGAAGAGGAAGAAAAAAACATGGAGCAAAATCAAGAAAGGGAGAAGATCTGCTTGTTAAAAACAGCCCCACCGATCTGAGTGGGATGAGACTAAATTTGAAATAGAAATAAATAAATAGAAACACATAAAGGAAGGAAGGAAGGAAGGAAGGAAGGAAGGAAGGAAGGAAGGAAGGAAGGAAGGAAGGAAGATCCACCCCCAGGAGCCCAACTAGGGGTTCAAAGCCACCCCCATGTCCCACCCGAGCTTGGCTTCGTGCAATGGAGCCACGGTGGGCACCCTTGTAAGCCAATCTCACGAGTGGGCATCTTTTTCACGCCAGGCTGGGGTTCAGCCGGGTATCCAGCCACTTCTGGCCCGGGACCGGGCACCGAGGAGCAAGGAAGGTGGTGGAGAAATTGGAGGATTCGGCCTGGAAACTCAGCAAGTTGCCGCAGAGAGGCGTAGGGAGGGCGGAATTTCTTGGCCGATGCTCTTTCCAGGCTGCCCCAGCACAATAGCCAACGGGAGAAGGTGGTGTCAGCTGCCGTCACCAGATCACAAAGTAATGCCACCAAACCCCTCCTCAGGTCAGAGTTATTAACGGACTTAAATCGCTTCCTGGAACAGGATGAATGGTTCCAGGAGAATAAGGAAGAACTGACCCAGAGGGAAGGGGCATGGTGGAAAGCAGATAGACTGTACGGGCCCCTGGAGGCTCGCAATCTGGTACTACAAAGGTGCCATGATGAGAAAACAGCAGGACACTTTGGCTTTGTCAAAACTTTACATCTACTCCGCCGGCAATTTTAGTGGCCGTCTCTCAGAAGGGATGTGGCGGAATGTGTAAATACCTGTCCTGTAGGTGCTATGGCCAAAAGGCAAGGGGGGACACCACGGGGGTTGTTGCAACCGGTGCCAAGCCCTGAAAAACCATGGAAAGAAATAGCCATGGATTTTATGGTAGGCCTGCCAGAGAGCAGGAAAATGACTGTAGTTTGGACTGTTACTGATCTCTTCTCTAAACAAACTCACTTCATCCCGTGCAAAGCCATCCCCTCCGCGCCTGAACTGGCTGCCTTGTTTATCCAGCACATATACAGATGACACGGGTGTCCTGAAAGAGTGATCAGCGACCGGGCGGTCCAGTTCTCATCTAAATTCTGGAGGGCATTTTTAACCCTTTGGGGGTCCAAGCAAGCAATGAGCTCTTCCTTTCATCCGCAGACGGCCGGAGCGACGGAGAGGAGGCATGCGGGGTTGGAGCAATATTTGCGATGTTTCATAAACCCTCAACGGGACAATTGGGTGGAATTGTTACCTTATGCTGAAGTGGCTTACAATAGTCCTGGGCTATCACCTTTCCAAATTGTATCAGGGCACGGCTTTGTACCTATACCTGAACTTCCTCACGCTCAGACAGGGGTTAAAACCGTGGGGTAACAGGATAAGGCAATTGTGGCCAATCGCTGAAAAAGCGATTGCAAGAGCTAGAGAAAGTTACAAAGCCCAGGCAGATGAGAAGAGAGCCCCCCACGAACCATGGAAAGTGGGGGACAAAGTGTGGTTATCGACCAAGAATCTGAAATCTTCCAGAGCATGTAGAAAGCTTGATAATAAATTCATCGGACCTTTCACGGTGGATAGAGTAATCAACCCTGTTTCGGTACGCTTGAACCTCCCCAAAACCCTCAGGAAGATTAACCCTGTCTTGCACAGTGAACTATTGAAACCCTGCAAGGAATCTGATAAATGGAGGCCATCAGTGGCCCCTCCTGACCCTATTATGATCGAGGGGGGACAACACTTTGAGATCAGGGAAATATTGGACTCTAGAAAATTCAGAGGAGACATTCAGTATTTGGTACATTGGAAACATTTCCCTAAAGCGTTGGTTGAATGGGTCTCCAAAAGACATGTTAGAGCTCCTGACTTACTTTGGGACTTTTATAAAAATTACCCTAACAAACCCAGGTAACCTTGTTGGATTCTAGGGAATGTATGTCTTCATAATTCCAGTTCCTCTTTTTCTTATTTCTGGGGTGCCAGGCCATCGTGGGGAAGAGGGGTTTTTTGGGGGGGGAGCATGTCAGAACCTGCATCACCCAACTCTTGATGTTTTCCATTGTATCGCATTCGTTGGGAGTTGGAGTGATTTGTTTCTGCCACTTGTAACTGGGGGTGGTGGTGCTGTTAATGGTTGTAAGGGGAGCTGGGAAGCAGCTTAACCATATATGGGGAAGTTTCCCCAAGGCTTTAGCTTTAGCAATGCTCTGTTTACAAGCTACATGTACCACGTAATAAAGAAGTATTTTTCTGAACCAAGCCTGGTTGCGTGAGCATGCTTCAGAATGGGGAGTTGGACATTGTGGACTTGACACCCCCTTTGCAGGATAAAGCTGCGGGCCTCTGAAAGAGGTGGGTGGAAGCCAAGGCCGCCACCGCGGCGTTCCGCCTGCAAAAGGCCACCTCGGTTTGTTTTTGCTGGCCGGGATGCACGGA